CCAAATTCTTTTCTACAAAACAATAGCAGTCTTACCACAAGAGTTTTATTAAAATAAAAAAAAACACCAAGGAACAAATCCAAGACCCATCTGAACTTTTTGAAGAACAGAGGAAACCTAACAGACCTTAGAGCTCCGTTTTTCTTTTCTTTTCCCCTAATTATTCTTGTCTAGATGTCTTAGCACTCCCTTTTTATTTATTGATAACTGCTTTGAACTCATGTGAGCTCGCGTGTTGAACCATATGCTCTGTCACATGCAGTGAATTAGTTTATATTGTCTGATTGCTGGCTGTAGCCTTTAATATGTGTGGGACCTAACAAAATTATCTCCAGCTATGGGGAAGTCTTACATCAGTCAGTAGGAACACCAAATGAATGAGGACTGCAGCAGTACAGTGTTTGCTCTGCCTGGTATTTCGGTCAAGGTACAAAACAACCCCCAAAATACAAGAATACAAGAAAATCCAAATCCAAATAAAAAAAAAAAAAATTAATACACCAAAACTCCAGCCTAAACACAAGTAGAGGTGCCCTTCTTCCTTTCCTTTCCTTTCCTTTCCTTTCCTTTCCTTTCCTTTCCTTTCCTTTCCTTTCCTTTCCTTTCCTTTCCTTTCCTTTCCTTTCCTTTCCTTTCCTTTCCTTTCCTTTCCTTTCCTTTCCTTTCCTTTCCTTTCCTTTCCTTTCCTTTCCTTTCCTTTCCTTTCCTTTCCTTTCCTTTCCTTTCCTTTCCTTTCCTTTCCTTTCCTTTCCCTTCCCCTTCCCCTTCCCCTTCCCCTTCCCCTTCCCCTTCCCCTTCCCCTTCCCCTTCCCCTTCCCCTTCCCCTTCCCCTTCCCCTTCCCCTTCCCCTTCCCCTTCCCCTTCCCCTTCCCCTTCCCCTTCCCCTTCCCCTTCCCTCCTCTCCTCCCCTACCCTCCCCTACCCTCCCTCTCCCCTACCCTCCCTTTCCATTCTTCCCTTTCCTCTTCTGCCCTCTCTCTCCCCACTCACCCTCCTTTCCCCCAAACTTTTTTCCTTCTCTCCCTCTCTCCTCATTCATTTTAAAAAACCCCATCAGACACAATTTATCACCCTTCACACACGTATGGAGTACTGATTTCCCAAGAGTTTCCTGGGCTCTCGAAATCAGAGGCATACTACTTAGTAGCAGTGATGGTGGGTGTTCACCATCTTGCTCCCAGAATGTTGCCTTTTTGAAGTGCCCGCAGCCCTTGAACTGAAGCACAATCACTGAATACTTTGGAAAAATACCACAAACTGAAAGACAAAATTGTATCTCAAAAATCAGTGCTACTATTTACTTCTCTTAAGACAGAGACCTAAGTTGACTAAAATAATTAAAATGCAAATGACTGCAATTGCAGACAGATGACAAAAATTAGGTAAATACATATTAATTTCAAATTTGTCTTGAAATATACACTCAGGCTTCCAGGTGAAATATTATCATGTTGTCAGAACTAACAAAGTAAGGAACATGACTGCATAGGGAAGAATATGCCAATATGCCTGTTCCTGAAGAGTGACAAATTTTACATTAGATGACCAGCCTAAGCCTGTAAACATGTTAAGTAATTTCAGATGTTACTGTATGCTTAGCGGATATTAGAGTACATGAACACTCTTAATCAAGTGAGGTCATCAAGAAAACAAGAACAAATGTTGGATTAATTTTCCAGTCTAAGTAGGGGTAAGACTGCAGCCTTTACCGCTGTCAAACAGCCAGACCAAAACACTTGCTGGATACTTTGGCAGCTTTCCATGTGTTACAGATCTTCAAACGTGACACCAAATTCAAACATACTGACTAAAGACAATTTCTTATCCACCTCTGACCTGAATAGGGCTCACAGTCCTGCTCACTTTATGACTTTATGTATGTCAAGAGATGAAAACACATCCTCTTAATCATACCATCTTATTTTAAAATAGCTTTTGATGGTATTGTTTTAATAAAGGTAGTTGTGATGATTACATACAGGGTACAGGAAAAACCTGTCTTTGAATGACTTCAGCCAATGTCATTTACCAGAAATTAGTTTGGCCCAGCATAAGTTATAAAGGCCACTTTAAATTATAACAAGGTATTTATTGCCAGGAAAGCTCCCCTCTTTAATAAAACCCCCCACTTTTCTCTTCCCAAAAACAATTGAAAAAATATGATTGGTCCAAAGGTTGTAGTCTGCAAATGTCAGTATTTAATTTAAGTGGTGGTTAGATATTACTTGACTCAGAAGTAAAAATATGTAGGTGGCAGAGTAGTAGATCTAGCTGTACAAGCAAACAGATGTGAGAATACTCTGATCATACTATGATCATGAAAGACATGTAGTAGTGTAAAATATCTGGAGTATTTCTAATATCCTAATGTTTTCTAATGTGAGAAACAAAATGAAATACATATAGTATGACTATAATAAGTAAAAAACAAACAGAAAAAACCCAACCAGAAAACCCTGGCGTTATATTACTGTGTAACAATGTGACGCACAGCCATTCAACAAATCACGGTATGTAACTGGATACTGGTAACTACAGCCACATCCTTCACATGCTGCAGCACCTGAGGGGGGTCCTTCAGGCCAAGCTCCACTTGTCTCTGGTCCCATTAGCATTCTGCCAGCTTGTTCCTGAACAGCCTACAGTAAACAAGCAGTGCAGAACAGAAACCAGGAAAGCAAAGTGGATAGTCATGTAAGGAAAACAATTAGGTGTCCTTCAATATTTTTTTTGTCTCTAAGTGAGAAGTGTATTATTTTTACCCAGTTAAAATTCCACAGGTATATTGTAGACTGGAAGGAAGATATTAATCTTACTTTTTTGCGGACAGTTCAGATGTATAAGGTTATTGTCCTAAAGCAAAGCAAGCAAACCAGTAAATGTTTCCATGTTTTGCCTGCAGTCCCATTTTTTTCAGGATGAAGTGAAATACCATTGTTGCTGTAGTTAACCTCTGTGTTCTCTTATATCCATGCTGGATAGAGGCTTAAATTATTTTTAGCATGCTGAAAATGTTTATTTCATTCTTATTTTGAACATACAGGATGCCAATGGAACGAGCTTCCAAACAAAATTCCTTACTGGAGCTAAAGAAAAGAGAAAAAACAGACCACCACCAACAACAAAAAGAAATCAAGGCTTTAACTGCTTAGCTGTCAGTCTGGCAGAAAATCTAGTCTGAACTAAGAATAATCCTAACTTAGTCAGTATATGTTTTCAACTAAACTTCTTCAATGCACTCCAACTGGGAGGAGCAAAATGATATATAATGGCAATGTGTAGGCTCTCATTAACCTGCCATGCCTGGCAAATAAATAGCTAAAACAAATTTAAAAAGGCCGGAAGCTTCTACCATCTTTAAGATCTTGAAAAACAATTTCAAAATAAATTTATTTTTTTTTTTTTAGCTATTAGATTGACCCGCACAGGACAATACATTAATTTGGTGGTTTCCTATGTCTTTTTACTTTCCTTGTGCTTGGTATGCACTAGACATCTGTTTGTTGAGGGCCTCCAATCCCAAGGAGTATCAAGGACTTCATTTTCAGTATATACCTAAATGCATTGCATTCTTTTGTTTTTTTTTAAATTCACCCTCCTAATAAGCTTTCACCTACTCCAGGAAGCACTAGAGATCACTCATAACACCTGCACTGTTTTGTCAAGTTCTGATGTCCATTATCAAAGCTTTCAGTTTCTGAACATTAAAATACAAGCCTCTCCAGCCAAAAAATTGTTAGATGTCTTCTGGAAATAGCACCAGGAACTGCATGAAGGAACACAGGAGCCAGAGAGCTACTTCTTATGTTGGTTTGCAGCTTATCAATTTTCATTACTGTACAATAAAAGAAATAATAACTTTTATGGGATAGAATACCTGCTTGTCTTCCCATTAACAATGGATTTATAGCAATATCTCAATTTACTTCAGCAACATTCATCTAGCTATTGCTCTCAGAGTGAAGTTTGGATGCACAGATTATAGGAGAGGGCCATTTGAAATGGCTTTTTGTTTTATGTCTTTTGCAGAACTCAACCCTGAATTACTCATCAATGAGCAGCCCCATCTCCAGTACCACATTACAAGTTTAACTGAAAAATGCAGCGCCAGTGAGAGTGTGAACGTGTTTACTGTCAAGAATATATATTTAAAAAAAAAAAATAAAAGAAGGAAAAAATATCACTCTAAGTGGACTTCAGATGATAAATGAAGTTAGGGGAAAACATACAAGCAAACAAAAAATACAGTAGAGCACAATAGACTAAACTTATCTGAGGTATAACTCTTGCCAGCTGGCCAGTATCTCTTTGTCAAAATATATTTAATGAGTAAAGAAAGAAACAAAATACAGTACAAAATGAACATAGCAAATTGGTTCATTTGGATACAGCAGCATACCTTCTATGATGAAAATCTTTGAGATAAATTACTGATTACTGAATCCTTATCAATTTTGTCACCATTTTCATCCCATTTCTTATTTCACAGCTTTCTATAAATACCTAATGTACTATATTCTTGTGATCACAGTAAAGAGGGTACCTATATCACCATGGAAACAAGATATATGTATACATCTATGAGCAGTCCTTCTCTATAGTAAAAGCCTACACTATTCGTGCAAGCTTACAGCTAATTGCTCTGCATAAAACACTTGTGTCTTATTCCTACCCACTGTGTTGGAAATTCATTTCATGTAGTTGCACATAGCAAGCTATAAAGTAGGTTTTATGAAGCCAATAATTCAGATATAATACTTGAGGAATTCCTTTTAGTTTAGATATATTTATTTTTCCAAACATTTTGTTTGAGAGAAAATGAGATTGCTATCTTCTGTTTCCTTATTTTTTGCAGGAAAGCAAAGGGTTGTTGACTTCCTCTCCCCTCCCTTCCTTCCTTCTTTCTGAAGGTACTGTACTCATCTGAAAAAAAAAGAGAACGAAATGATTGTTCCTGTTCTCTTTCTTAAGTCATTTGAAACACTGTCCCTGCTAGTTTTCTAAGTTTACTGCAATCTCTGCACGGGGGGAGGGAGAGAAAGGGAGAAAGAGACAGAGATTACCAACATGACAGCAGGTAGAGAGTTTAGGGCAAGACTCGTTCCAGCTTCAACAACTGGTAAGTTAAGTAAAAATGTATTTATGGTTAACTCTTTACAAGTACAATATATATGCTTCTGTATTAAGAAAAGGCATTAATCAGATGCACATGTAACTGATAAGGTAATAACCATATGCATTGACAAGGAGTATATTTATGCCATAGTTACCTATAGTCTGGTTTTTAGATACTGATGGTAATGGCATAGTGTTTAACCAGCACAGACAAGAGAGTGTTTTCCAGTGAGGCTGATAATATTCATAACATAATCTGCTGAGAATTTTGCATATATCCCTTCTGCTACCAGAATCTCGTTTCAGGCTTCACTAACCTTATCCTGAATGTTTCAGCAAGGTTCACTGGGCCATTGCTGAAATACAGACAAAAGTTTTGTCATACGCAAATTGATGTATTTCATATATCATCTGCCACTACTGAAGTCTGCTCCAACCCACCAACCTGTGCTATAGTGGGAGAAGAATTACTAGGTCGTTGGTTTTTTTCCGCCAAATTGTATTGTGTTTATGATTACACGTGTTTATCTCTACTGATCTGTGTATATGGTTAGTGTAGGAACAGTGACTTTTAAGACATGGTAAGATAATTCCAGGTTCTCACTTGAAAACAAAAGTTTCATGTCGAACTGAGGCTGATCACCAGCATTTGTAATAGGGTGGATTCAAATTTTTATTTGTTGTTTTCATTGTTTTAGGTATCAATATTTTTCATGTTGGGTTTAAATGTACCAGAGTGATCAGCAGTTGCATGTAAAATGAGTGATTGAATGCAAGCCTATGTTTCAAATATCACCCCCGCACAGGCTTTTATAGAAGTGGAATGCAGAGGTGGGGGGAAGAATTAGGACAGGTGTCCATTTCTCTGCAAAAGGAAAATTTGGTCATCTTCTGATCCAGTATTTCTTCAAGCTGCTTCTCTCTGAAGCACAGGGTCCTCTGCAGGATGCCCGGAGCTCGGTCAGGGTGTCTCCATATGGCGGGCAGGCATCACAGGGGGCTGGCAGACAGCTCGAGCTGCCCTGCTCTCACCGGAGCACCTGGGCTGCACTTCCGCCCCAGGACAGCCCTCTGCTCCCACCCCTCGCTGAACCAAGTAGCGGGGATGACTTTCTTCTCTCTCCCTCTGGGGTCTTTCTGCAAGACTTTCTTTAGGAAGAAGTGACCTACCCCCATTTCAGCCCGATTTTTGGGTAAGTTGTAGATTCCCTTTGCTTCAGGAGCAGCAGATGGGTTCTACCAAAGGAGGTTTCTCGAACTCTGCATCTTAATGTTGCAGCTAGGTTTAGGTTGGTACCAGTTACTAGGTTTATTTGGTTATACTTAACCCAAGTAGAGTTTTCTGCTGATAGCAAGTAAACACCAGATATTGCCATGAAAACCACTTGCCACTTCTTTTGCTTGGGACACATGAGATTATGTTTTATGTGACTAAATACTGATTCAAATGAAATAGATTATTTGGACAGCTATTGTGACAAGTTACAGGTCAAATATATGGAAAAGCACTTTTTACTTTAAGTGAGAAATAGTGTCCCAAACATTAAAAAAAAAAAAACAACAAAGCCAAACAGCAAAAACATAAGCTCTGTAATTGCAGTGGGATTTTTCTCAAGCTGTAGAGTCTGGATTGCAATTGCCTGTAAGTTTTGGTCTGATGAGTTCAGAAATTCAGTTTGTCATGTAGGTAAGAGCCAGTTGCAGCCTTCAGGTACCAATTTTGTTTCTGAGGATACCAGACATTACTGTATTCTCAATTTGGACATGTATACAGCACACTCGCTCTGAGAGATTGTCTGAAATACATAGATAAGAATGTGTGTTCATATTCATAGTAGGTGGCCAAAAGCAGTGTATGTGATTTTTAAACCCATTCCCAAATAATAAGCACACAGAGAGAGCATTTTCTGAATAAATGCTTAATAATTTGACAGTGAAAAACAGACCTTGAATTTTGACATTCATTCTTAGATTTATTTCACTTACGGGTCTTACTTTTTCTTCAAATAGTACATTTTAGCAATCGTTTGGAGTTTGTTTTAAAATTGTATAATTTATTGCTGGGATAACTGTAAATGATTTAGTATTATGCTAGTTTGTAACACAACCAATACCTTTCTTCAGGTGTCAGGAAGGGGAGATTTTAGCTGATGTGTAGTCTTTATCCCACAAGCTGAGATATTTACAAGCAGAGAAGGATGTAGTCTGAGACTGCGCTGAGTACAGATCTACTACCATCTTATGGCACAATTTGAATGCTTGTGAACCTCTATGTTATTAAAAAAATAACATTGAAGCAATAAACCAAGAATAAAGAGAGAGGCTCTGTTTGCTTAAACTGTTATTGCTTCTCTTGCTAAGAGCTATATTTATGTATATATCATACATAAGTCAGTGTGCATATTTTCTCAGAGAATTATTTCATGTTTTATTTCCATTTCCAATAAACTATTTCCATTTGATTTGTTTGGAATTATAATGAAAAAATATATAGAGATTTTGTTTTTGTTCTGAAAAATAAAAACAAAACTATAACAGTGACAGCGAAGATGTTACAAAAAAGTCATAGCCTATGGAAATCCCAGGTTAACAGGTCTGATTCAAAAAGCATGGACACTGATCCAAGTCTTCCTAAATGTCAATTGCCTTTTTATCTTTAGGACCAGCTTCTTTAATGATGAAAACTGTTGAGAATCAGAGTTTTGGATGCAGGATAGTAACATAGATTTACATTCCTAGTAAAATTTTGGAATCTATAATGTAGATTTTTGACCAGGATATAATTTGAATCTTTTTTACTGGTTTTGTATTCTTTCCAATAAGAACATCAGTAAGGGCCTTGTTTCAGGACTATCTGGATGTAGAGCAGATACTGGTGGACTGAGAGGCATGATGTGCGTCTCACAGATAAGCATATTGGCATGCTTTTTAGCTGCTGTTTCTAGTAGCATCAGACAGATATGCAGTATTTAGAATGGGAGAAGCACAGGGGGATGAATCATGGTAGCAACCCAAAATAAACCTTATATAGAGGCAGAAGGGTATGGATCACCCAGAGAGCACTTACATTGCTTGGAATCCTTGATATCGCAAAGGCTTGATGCCACAGAAAGACATCTATCTGAACGGACTGCTCCAATTAGCCAGACATGTCAGCAGAGTATCACCATGAGAAACAAAAGCAGTAAAGGCTGCATAAGGTAACAGTGGTTTTCTGTAGCCATGGTTTAAGGACACAAGTCAGGTAAAGCTATGTAAAGAAAAGTAGCTTTGTATTAGTTAAAAAGAAATGGTCTGTTGCTTCTGAGCACTGATGTATGTTCCCCAGCAGTAACTGACCTGATAAAACAAACTGACCTTATTAGTGCTATGTAGACTGCTACAGATAGTTGTAAAATTACTCATTTGTTTGATGAACTAAGTTTATACCCCAACTGACTTTTAAAAATAGACCCCCTGTTATGAGCATTTTCTTCTTAAATGCAGTAGTTTTCCCTATTCTAGTTTACAAGCCCAGAAGATCACTGAAAAGGAAGGAATGTCAGCTTTAGAGAGAGAAATAGTGTGAATCATTTAAAAAGAAAGAAACAATTTTGGGAAAAAAGATGACCTGGGATTATCTTCTTTCTGCTGAAAAGTTGATATTTGGAATGGAGACCATAGCTCTCCATTGCTCTTTGTATGTAGTGGAATGATATTCTGATTTTTATCCAATGAAGAGGCCTACCATACGTATTAATATACGCATTGATTACTTGAAATACATATTGAATTGCATACTGGATGTCTGATTTTTCTTTATGTCTATCCGTCTATCTATGTTTGTATCTTGTCTGGCTTCTAAAATACTAATGATCCAATGAAAAATAATCTTTAATCTTTGTTTTAGTTTCTTCCAACTTAATAACTTGGTGACTTGCTTTTGTAAAACAAATAGTTTTATACTAGTGTTACCCTGATCTTGATAAACCAAACATAGCATTTTCCTTCTAAACTGAAAATATTTAATGTATTGTAAAGACATCTAACGTCACTGGAAGTAATTAAGCAAAGTAATTATATATTAAAAGAAAATATTTTTGTACCCTGAAGGTTATGGGAAGAAATCATGTGAATATTTGCCATTTCTTTTTCTTTCTGCTTTCACTCCTTATTTCCTGCTTTGTATGTTAGAAAGGCACATTACTAATTATTTGAATGAAGGCTGAAAAAAAAAATAACTTTCTCTTCCCTCCGTCTGCCGCTGAAGGTAAAGGTAAAACACTGACACATTTCCCTTCTACTTTGTGGATGTATATGAATTCATGTGATTTACAAGAAAAACTTAGGATAAAAAGAGTGTTTCCTGAAAACCCATTTACCCACTACCAACACTCATAAAAACTAAAGCTGGAAACATCAGACTTTCCAGCTGCTTATTCTCATTAGCAGCACTAGAATTCAGAGAACACTGAGCAATACAAATATTCATTGAATCTGCAAAAACCTACAAGGTAAACTGAATCTCATACATTGCTAACATCACTTTTTGCTAATGAATTAGAGAAAGGTACAACTGATTTGAAATTGAAAGCAAGGTTACAAGAAGGGTCATACATTTTTAATTGTTAGATGATGCTGTAGTGCAAAGAATAATAATTCACAGCAAGCAGGCATTACCCATGCCAGCCTCTTGAGGCCTGATGAAAACTAGAAACTATCTAATTTCTCCTTGTGGAAAAAATTTGGCAGGGTAGTGTTCCCAGGGTAGAGAAGAAGCTGTGGCAATTCTGGGATGGGAGTACACGGCTTTGTCCCTCCTGGGGGAGAAGCTTGTTTTGACACCAGGCCCTCTGATAAGCCACATGTGTGTTGGCTGGGAGGGACAAGATGACTTCCAGTCTTCCTCTTCACTGGTTTGTTACTATTTCTGACTGTGCGGAAGACACTAATGTTTTAGTCTTCTATGGTTAGGGTTGCAACCTAACTGTAGACTTTTTTGCAGCAAGGAAAGACCTTTTGTTT